TCTCAATTTCATGTTTCCATTTCTCCGATGTCTTTTTCATTCAAGAAGCAAGCGGAGGGGCTGCCTCCTGTGTTTCCTTGCCTCTTTCCTCGCTATTATCTTTTCCTTTCTCTTCTCTCTTGGTGCTTACATTCTTATGAAAAACGTGAAAGTTGTGGGGGCATCCCTTTCGCTTTCTCTCTTCTGGGGAAATTCCCAATTGCAGGGGGCTCTCTCTCCTTGTCTGTCTTCTTTTCTCATACATAGGGAAAGGAGAAAGAAGATGAAGAACTAGGAAAGAATCATTTCCACACATTCCTCTATTCCTACTGTCCGGAGATTGGCAAGCTTTGGAAGCTCTGGTCTCTAGTCACGCCTGACCAAAGTCAACTTCCCGTGCGTGAGGGCCATATGTGAGGGGCCAGGAGGGGGGCAGAAAGTCCGGAATATGGTAGTGTTTCGAGTTTCAAATTCGTTTCCATAGTTTCAAATTAGTCTCAAGTCAGTTTCAAACTAGTTTCAAAATCCAGTTGAAATATCGCTGTTAAGGAGGAGCTGCAATTTCTGTCCGCGCTTGTTGAAAACCAGAACCTCTAGAGATTCCTGCATTTTTTGCAATTGCGCGTAGAAAAACGCAGTTTCCCCTTAACAACGAATTCGCAACTGGATTTTGAAACTGTTTTGCAACTAGTCTGAAACTACAGAATTCGCAGCTGGATTTTGAAACTGTTTTGCAACTAGTCTGAAACTACAGAAACGAATTTGAAACTTGAAGAACGCAGCACTTCTGCTCCCTGGCGCTTGGCCACGCCCAAGCAAGAGGAGGCTAGAAGCCGCGGCTCGCGAAACCAGCAACAACTCTTGCCAAGGCAGCCACGCAATCACAAGTCAGTAAATTATCTTGTCTGAGACTGTGTCTCTTCTGAGTTGTTCTAATCTTTCTCCTGCAATCCTTTCTTCTTTCTCACTTGTGCCCTTTCACTTTTCTTTGGTCCTCTTCTTCTCAACTCCACCAAAATGAAATAATCGCAAGGGAAGCATATAGGTACTGGGGACAACGTGACGACATAAGAAAGAATCATTTCCATATTGTCCCCTATTCCTTTCTCTAAAATACTGCAGCTTTTTCCGAATGAAGGAGGGCTTCTTCTCCCTCCACTTTCCTTTCGCTTTTTTTTTATATTTGTTCTCACTCCAACCAGCAGACAGGGAGAATGGGTGAGAGATAGAAACGCGCCTTTACCTTCAAACATAGAGATGTGACGAAAAATCAATCCACGGAAAACCTGGTCCCTGTCCACCATCCCTATCCTCTTTGTCTTTGGTTCGGAAAAGAAAGGAACGGCTACCAGCCTCCCTCCCGACTTACATCTTTACATTCTCTTGTTTCGTCCTGCTCAACCGGAAAGAAGGTCTGCCTCCAGTCTTTCCTCGCCTCCCTGCTCACTATTATGAGTTCCTTTCACTTCTCTTCTGTTGCTTACATTCTTCTCAAAAGTGTGAAAGGTGCGGGGGACATCCCTTTCACTTTGTCTCTTCTGGGGAAATTCCCAATTGCAGGAGGCTCTCTCTCCTTGTCTTTGTTCTGTGTTCATATAGGGAATGAAGATAGAAGATGAATAAATAAAACAGAATCAAGTCTATAATGTCCTCTATCCGTGTCTCTTGTGATTTCTTCAATTCCTATCTCTGCAGATTCTTCAAAATGGAAGGCGGACTTCTTCCTCCAACCAAAAGCGACCTTCTCAAAAAGAAGACAAGAGACGAACATCAATCACCGGAACCTGACTCCTAATCTCCTGTGTTTCCTTGCCTCTTTCCTCGCTATTCTCTCTTCCTTTCTTCTCTCCCGGTGCTTACATTCCCATCAACATGAAAATTGAGGGGGCAGCGCATCCCTTTCCTTTCCCCATCAAAGAAAGGCTGCCTTCCTATCCGCGTATGTTCTTCCCTCTTCCTTCCGAAAAGACTATAAGAGGTAGGGGTAAACAGAATGAAAGAGGAGTCTCCTGTTGCTTTCCGACTACCTTCTCACCACAAAAAGGAACCTTCCCACTCTTCCCTACTTTCTTTCTTTTATCTTTTTGCACTTTACGTTTCCCGCTGAGAAAATGAGACGTTTCCCACTGAGAAAATGAGACAATGATGACAATAAGGAAAAAAGATCACCTGCCTGTATTTTCAGACCTGTCCGCTGCATCTTTTCCCTTTACATCGCAGATTGAAGGAAAGCAAAAAAAGGGAAGAATCCCTTTCCCTACCTTTCCCAGTACATTCCTTGTGCTTTCCATGTTCTTTGGAATTGCTTTGTTCTTCAGCAAGGAAAAGCGCAACTTCCCTCTCAATTTCATGTTTCCATTTCTCCGATGTCTTTTTCATTCAAGAAGCAAGCGGAGGGGCTGCCTCCTGTGTTTCCTTGCCTCTTTCCTCGCTATTATCTTTTCCTTTCTCTTCTCTCTTGGTGCTTACATTCTTATGAAAAACGTGAAAGTTGTGGGGGCATCCCTTTCGCTTTCTCTCTTCTGGGGAAATTCCCAATTGCAGGGGGCTCTCTCTCCTTGTCTGTCTTCTTTTCTCATACATAGGGAAAGGAGAAAGAAGATGAAGAACTAGGAAAGAATCATTTCCACACATTCCTCTATTCCTACTGTCCGGAGATTGGCAAGCTTTCGGAAGCTCTGGTCTCTAGTCACGCCTGACCAAAGTCAACTTCCCGTGCGTGAGGGCCATATGTGAGGGGCCAGGAGGGGGGCAGAAAGTCCGGAATATGGTAGTGTTTCGAGTTTCAAAATCGTTTCCATAGTTTCAAATTAGTCTCAAGTCAGTTTCAAACTAGTTTCAAAATCCAGTTGAAATATCGCTGTTAAGGAGGAGCTGCAATTTCTGTCCGCGCTTGTTGAAAACCAGAACCTCTAGAGATTCCTGCATTTTTTGCAATTGCGCGTAGACAAACGCAGTTTCCCCTTAACAACGAATTCGCAACTGGATTTTGAAACTGTTTTGCAACTAGTCTGAAACTACAGAAACGAATTTGAAACTTGAAGAACGCAGCATTTCTGCTCCCTGGCGCTTGGCCACGCCCAAGCAAGAGGAGGCTAGAAGCCGCGGCTCGCGAAACCAGCAACAACTCTTGCCAAGGCAGCCACGCAATCACAAGTCAGTAAATTATCTTGTCTGAGACTGTGTCTCTTCTGAGTTGTTCTATTCCTTTCTCTGCATCCTTTCTTCTTCTCACTTGTCCTTTCACTTTTCTTTTGTCTCTTCTCACTCCAACCAAAAGGGAAATCGCAAGGGAGTCATATAGGGAAAGGAGACAACGTGAAGAAATAAGAAAGAATCATTTCCATATTGTCCCCTATTCCTGTCTCTAAATCTGCAGATTTTTCAGAATGGAAGGAGGGCTTCTTTCTCCCTCTCACTTTTCCTTTCGCTTTTTTTTATATTTTCTCACTCCAACCAAGAAGACAAGGGAGAGGGGTGAGAGATAGAACGCCCTTTACCTTCTCAAAACATAGAGAGGTGACGAAAATCAATCACGGAAACCTATCCTGCCTTCCTTCCTCTTTGTCTTTGGTTCGGAAAAGAAAGGAACGGCTACCAGCCTCCCTCCCGACTTACATCTTTACATTCTCTTGTTTCGTCCTGCTCAACCGGAAAGAAGGTCTGCCTCCAGTCTTTCCTCGCCTCCCTGCTCACTATTATGAGTTCCTTTCACTTCTCTTCTGTTGCTTACATTCTTCTCAAAAGTGTGAAAGGTGCGGGGGACATCCCTTTCACTTTGTCTCTTCTGGGGAAATTCCCAATTGCAGGAGGCTCTCTCTCCTTGTCTTTGTTCTGTGTTCATATAGGGAATGAAGATAGAAGATGAATAAATAAGAAAGAATCAAGTCTATAATGTCCTCTATCCGTGTCTCTTGTGATTTCTTCAATTCCTATCTCTGCAGATTCTTCAAAATGGAAGGCGGACTTCTTCCTCCAACCAAAAGCGACCTTCTCAAAAAGAAGACAAGAGACGAACATCAATCACCGGAACCTGACTCCTAATCTCCTGTGTTTCCTTGCCTCTTTCCTCGCTATTCTCTCTTCCTTTCTTCTCTCCCGGTGCTTACATTCCCATCAACATGAAAATTGAGGGGGCAGCGCATCCCTTTCCTTTTCCCCATCAAAGAAAGGCTGCCTTCCTATCCGCGTATGTTCTTCCCTCTTGCTTCCGAAAAGACTATAAGAGGTAGGGGTAAACAGAATGAAAGAGGAGTCTCCTGTTGCTTTCCGACTACCTTCTCACCACAAAAAGGAACCTTCCCACTCTTCCCTACTTTCTTTCTTTTATCTTTTTGCACTTTACGTTTCCCGCTGAGAAAATGAGACGTTTCCCACTGAGAAAAAGAGACAATGATGACAATAAGGAAAAAAGATCACCTGCCTGTATTTTCAGACCTGTCCGCTGCATCTTTTCCCTTTACATCGCAGATTGAAGGAAAGCAAAAAAGTCAGAGGGAAGAATCCCTTTCCCTACCTTTCCCAGTACATTCCTTGTGCTTTCCATGTTCTTTGGAATTGCTTTGTTCTTCAGCA